ATATATGAATCCACAGGATGTTGCATGAGGACAATGGAGTGATCGTTGCCTAGTCCGATTCTCTAACTGCGAGGGATGGAACGTATCTCAAGACCATGAAATAACCTGTATGAATCCACTGACGACCGGGGTTTTGTGAGGAGAGGAACATTCCCCTAATCAGGCGGCAGCACACAGAGACCACTCCTCGGGAATACGTCCGCCGCTGTGTAGAAATGTTGTGACGCAATGTAAACTGACAGAAAGTGGGTCTCGAAAAACAGACGTTATGGGCTCCACGGGGATCCATAGACACCCCCAAAGAGCAAGATAGTCAATATGATCTAAAGATGACCATGACGATAGAATGAACAGCCGGTTAGTCTGAATAAAGCACTTAGTCACTATACAATGAGTGAGAGCAACTGAGGAGTTAAGAGAGTAGACCGTATGAACCCCGAGATCAACGACTCTTCAGTAGGATGAAAATATCCGGAATCAGGACTGGTCATTATCAATAGCGTTCTGGATGAATATGGAATATAAAATAATTAGTCATTTGAAATCCACGAACCAATGTTCAACAGAGCATAATCACACGTTGGTCAAATTATCTGGTCCGTAGTGAATCTATGGTGGTTATCATTTGCTGTTGGAAACAAGATGGTTCAGTGGTTAGCGCGCGAATTTGCTGATCGTGGTGCGAACCCGACTTCTGCATCTCGACTTCTCCTATCTAGGCTTGGGCAACCTGGCAGTATCCTAGCCCTCGTGCTTCCTTCTGGTGGCATGGCGGTTAGGCACCGAAAGGGTGCTGCAGCTGAAGGATGTGCGCAAGTCATTAGCTCAGAACACATCTACCTAAACACCAAACTTTGACTGTAACCTCCTCTCCTTTGGGTGTCTCCACGTGTTTCTCCCCATGTAGTAAATGTGTATTAGTATCTGGGAGTTACACAGATGTTAAAATCCTGTCAATTAATTCTTACCAAGGCTTTGGTGAAATGAATAAGGGGGACATAATGTCTTACACATCAAAATTCGAAAACAACCACCTGCGTTCCAAATCCATATAGGCCATTTGCAACAGACAGTAGCTTGACTCACGCACAGTAGACTTCGCCCTTTGGAGGCATATCTTAGCCATCGAGGACTATGCCCAACCAGTGTAGAGTCGGCCGCGTGCACGTCAATCGTTGAGGAGAGCCTAGCTACGTCGTCCGACTGCAGGCATAGAAGGATGAACCCCACAACGTCTGGATCGTCACATAGACACATGGCCACGTTACCACCGGCGTTTCTGTGCCTGTGCTTACTACGTCACATGACTTAGCATGTCTTGGCATGATTGGATGCTTCGGTCCACACCAATCGCCAGCATGCTTCAATCAGAACGGCACAGGCGATTGGTGGCCTGGATGGACGAATCGCTGGCACGTTACCGAATGCTGTGGTGTCGCCGGCTAAGGGCATGAACTCTCCCTGCGCTCTGATCCTATCAGAGACGGCAAAACAGCAGCTGATGCTTGTAATGCACAAACTCATAAGGTTGCTGAAAATCCTTCGACAGCCCACGGTCGGTTTCGCCCTCTTTGGGGCTCGTCATGCAGGCACATTCCCCGAGCTTCCGTCAATTTTATGTTCTACTTGAAACATTCATTTGCGAACAAATTTGGTTTTGCGAGAGACTCACCTGGAACCCAGCTGAATCTCTCGAATATCGTAGCAACTGGAACATGAGGCGGCTTGGTGCAGTACATTCATTTGCCTCGAAACACCGCAAACGAGAGATTCAACTGGGTTCCAGGTGAGTCTCTCGCGAAAGCTGAGGTTTGTGTTGTGCCGCGAGAGAGATTGATCGTTACTGCTTCTGACTTTGAACCACTGACAAATGGACAATGACGTGGTACCTGTGGTCAATACGCATCGCGGTTCATCCTAATAAATTGTTGAATCTGCTTTTGCTGTCACACTATATTGACATAAGTTAGGCAGTGACCAGTCAACAATGGGTTTTTTCGCATGTCTTCGGGTATGTCAAGCATAAGTTCTTATAGTTTTATCACGGGAAATCTAAGGGAAACCCACTGATGCCCAACGTGTTGTCGCTAGACGGGAATATTATCATTTACAGGAATCTGTAGTAATCTACATTGGCAAGCCGGTTTCAGTACGAACTTAGCGGAATGTGGATATCTACCGTGACAGTTCTGTGGCGGCATGTTGTTTGTAAACCATCCGCTACATTATACTAATTCCCGGGACGGCTGGTATCACCACTATCGTACTAGATTTCCCCATAATACAAACCCACATATTCACTGCATTGAAAATTTAACAGGTTAACCTATCAGTGCGTAAAACTTGTTGCGTTTCTCCACAATTCTTGAAAATTTGCGCAACCGGTTGTTTCTTTTGTAAGAAATGCATGCTATTATACATAATGAAATATAACAGCTGAGCATTACTTAGCTCCGGTTGCTTGCATGTGCGCAGGTGTTTGTTTTCTCCAGTCTGGTGCAAGCTGCTTCCATACAGGCGAGAAGTACATGACAGTTTGTCTCAGCAGATAGATGCAACAAAATCATACGTTCCCAGTTCTTATTATCCGGCTAGTATGAAGCACCTGTGCAACCATGTCGGTTTCGAATTTGTAAATAACCTGGCCATCCGAATTGGGATGAATCGACCAAGCCACACAAGAAACAATGTCCCATCAGTGTACGGTAGTCGGCTCGCAGCCTCGTGAGGTTCTTCACGCTGCTGCTACCACAAGGGCCCTGCTAAATTTGCGCTGCTAAGTTATTGGACCTAAGGTATGGAAACCTATCTTCATAATCTAAAAACCTTCCTTACATCCTTAACGTACAATTTAAAAAAGTGGTACGTAAAACTTCGAAGCCATCAGCAACATTAATCACACAGTGCTAGCCGACGTGCTCTTTGATGTTCAGCGAAGAAGAACCTATGCCCTGTTGGAACAACAATACAGATAGCCGTCTTCTGTTTCCAGTATAGGCTGTCGGAATTTGACGGAAACACAGTGAATGCAGTAACACCAGATGTGTCAGCTTGACTACCGTTGTAACAACGCTTTTGGCGTCGATGACGATCCTTCGTCCCCTTACGGCAGCACACAAAACCATGACTCGTGAGCGTCAAGCGGAAATTCGACCGGGTATTGGCCGCATCGACCACATCTTCACGCTCCATCAGGGCCTGCGTGTGTGTGGTAAGATTTTAAAGTTTTCCACAAGAGATGGTATCCGAAAAGAATATCCATTCTCTAGGGTCATCATCGATTAAATAACGAGGTGTAAACTGAAAGGAATTGGAAACCCTGGCGTTCAAATCATTGCTGGAGAGAACTAGCTTTAACCGCAATTGTCCGTATGACGAAAGTGGAGAGGAACAGGATAGTCTGTTTACCCTATGTCGATGCGACAATGCTAGAAGCCACAAAAAGCTAGGGTACAGCCCTATACTTTTCGTACTTGATCACATCCGTCAGATCCACACGCCAACCACTTAAGAATGGCTCCGAAAGGATCTGGTAGCATGACCCCACGAAGTGTAAACTTTACGCGTGTTGCGTTAACGTACCTCCAGATAGCCTATCAGGAAACAACGAATTAATCTTAGCTGGATGGCCAAACAGACAAGTGTAATCTGAAGTCTGCTAAAAGGCAAAGCGTACGAAGAAGTTTCTAAGCTACTATTACTAGTAAATCTGTATTCAGACATTCTTCAAGCGAATCGAGATGCAATGTAACTCTGATATTAATCGAGAAAAAATTCTTAAACATGATCTTTCAAAGGACTTAACACCCAAACTGTTCTGTTTGACGATCCTTCAACACAAAAGGAAGACGAAAGAATCACAAGTCCGTGCACCAAAACGATGACGGGACTGATGGTTATATATCTGTGACAAACGATAAGAGAGTGGCTGAGATGCGATGCAGTGGGCATCATAAAAATTTGAAGAAATAATGAATCCAACGATGAATAAGAAAGCCAGGATTACGTCCTATAATACACGGAGTGAACGCAAAGGAAGCTTATCATGAAAACAAACTTTCTGCAGAAAAAACGAACAGCTTTCATCCGTATCCGTACCATGCGATTACCGAGTACACGAGTTCGACTGGAGCCACCTTCACAAACTGGTACTTGCAATATAAAAATAGCATGAATCCATGGAAGACTCTTACTCCATGAAAGACATCATCCCTATTGAAATCATTTGCTGGGTATAAGAAAACTCCCCAACGACATAGTTTACAGTGGACACTTGTAGGGAAGGGGGAAGGTACACATCCATTGAACTTATGAGTTTCATTGGTTCAAAACTCTAGGCCGAAATCAGATGGACAAAATGCACAACGGAATGCATGTAATTAACTGAACAAACCGAAGAAAATCAGTCATTATAGGGAAACAGCAAGAAAACGCAACAGGCCAATTAGATTCAAGTAAATCAGACCATGGCGGAATTGGAAGTGGGGACGGACGAAAATGAAGCCACCGAAAAGTAGTATTAGTGGTCCGACGAGCCAGACCATATGACAACACAGTTTTGGACAGGTACATCAAAACTATGACCAAATCTACCGGACCAAATGAGTGCGAGGAATTCGGGCTAGAATGCAAGACGAATTTCAGACAGACCATCTCAAATACGGAAGAGCTGAGCCTCTTACCGAGGAACGCCAGGTACAAATCAAGAGATAAAGACGCAAGCAGACATAAGGGAAATATTCATCACGCTGCACCCTGATAATGGTCCCTCGACTAGTAACGACTGAAGGTTGAATATGTTAGCTTGTTATAAAGTAATTAAGTTGATTATCAGAAGGTAACAAGCACTAACATGTCTGTTTTACCAGAATGATGATGAATACAATAGTCAGGAGCACTTGATAAAATAGATACAATGCGGAAAGTGGAGTAAGCCAAAAAGTGGCTTATCGTTTGAGGACAGCTGTTTAGAGTTCCTGAGTGAAGTTCGGACGCTGGACGTATCCTCTCTGAAACATAGCTGTTACACGTGTTCCGTAGTTACTCGTGGAGACTCGTGGAGCTCGGTTGATTTCCCGCCCTGTGCGCGCGCGAGCGTGTGTGTTGGGCCGAGCTGTATGCCTATTTATTGTGTGTGTGCAGTGTGAAGAGAGGGGTGCCCCTTCGAGTTTGATACTCGCACGAAAATGAATATAACTTGACCTAGTGTGGTTGAAGTTCGTAAGCCTGATGTGTGACGCAAGTAGTAGCTACGTAGACAAGAATGGATGGGAAGTTGTAGCGTAACTGTTGTCTGTCGGCTAAAGTTGCAAGTGGGACAGGAATTGTCAAGCGGTTTGAGTGTTTGTGGCACGTGATCTAGTGAGTGACCGTTGAAAATCCATTCTCGGCGAATGAATCAACAGCAACGTGCTCAACAGTTATTTGCGTAGAGGTACTGGAACTCTGTCACAAGGATCTCAAGGAACAATTTGAGATGGTCGAGAACTATCAACCAGCGTTAATCCTATGACGGTTGTGAGACAGGTATGATATCAACCCTCTTCATCCACAAAACGAATACCATTTACACAGGACAGATAACATTCTGCCAGTCATTGTATGGAATATACCATCGTCAGCTCCTGGTCATCAAGAGCAAGCTTTACGACTATTTATGATGCATCGATTGCCAAAATAAAAGCAGTCAACAGCGATTCGGGATACACAGTAAAGAGACACAGCCATGCAGATTTAACTGTGGTAAAATGTAATTGGGAGGGAACAAAACATGGCAGTTTGCCGTTTTAGGGGAATGACAGCGACTACAACTTACCAGTTTATCATAGTGCTTTTGCAACCAATGACAAACACGTCCATTCGGTGGTCGAGATCTGATGTTACAATAAGTTGACAGACTATGTTGGTTAGAATCTCCATTTCCCATACCCAGAAAGCCAATAGGACGTAACGCGGAGCAACTAGGCAAAATTTGGTTTGCCCCCCCGGACAGCGAGCAATCGATTAACAGCTCATAGGGAGTGTACAGGCAGTAAGGTGTTTTCTTCAGACAATCGGCATTTCCTTTCTGATGATGCGGGAATACTGCTTCTCTAGAATGGAGGAAACCTGAAGAAAGTATTCTGAACACATTGATTTCCCAACAGTTAACTGCAACCCATAGCACACTACAGAAGCGGCTAAAAAACAAATAAATCTTATCAATAGCCTGATGCAACTCCGAGAGCGTTAGCCGTGTGTAGCAGTATGAACGGTCAGTCATTTCTCTAGAACTAACCTTCACATCTTTACATGATTTAGCCGTGTTTGGAGTCACATAATTGGAACATGGTACACCAACCAGTTCTATTCTTCAGTTTGAAGTATCTTTCCCCAGGAAGCTCCAATTTCACCGATACCTCTTCACAACGACTTCAGCCATGTCATGTCTAAACTCCTCCGAAGTAAAACAAACCAAATGACTCCATGAGAAATTCGAAGATTATGTTCAATATCTCAGCTTTTACCAGCAAAACCTGGGTACAGACAACTCTCACTTATACCTTGCGTTCGTTTACACTGAAACAAGCTATCTCTAAAAACGCTTAGCAGGTTCACAGATCGGTCAAGCACACACAAAATTACTTAGGACCTACGAGGAATTTTCGCACTCCAGTCACTGTGTCTGACATAATGCAATGCCTCAAGACGTGTGTGGCAATGAGAGTGCAGTTAGTCAAGGGGTTGAGACCCCTCCAGTGAAAAGGCGGTGGACAGAATCGACCCAACCACCATTGCTCGCCAACCACTCAGGTAGGCTTTCAGCCGAGTACACTACTTCATGACCATTATTTGCTATTATTCGTAATTTACTTTAGGGCCTGTCACCCCACCTGAGGCACCTGGGAGATCCAAATGTCATTCAAGGGTCTAACGACAGATGTTGTTAATATCAACCTTCTTTGATCGAAATTCACGGAACGCAAAATATCTCAAATAATTCTGCCGCAAGGTTTGGACTAGTAAATGCGATTGGAAGATCAAGTTGGATCAACTCACAACCATACGCCAGAAAAAACGCATTTTCTTAGATTAACTTACCTATTTACACAGCTGCGACAGGCTGGTGGGGGTAGGGACCACTTCTTGAACTGGGTAGGTCAGGGAAGCGTTTTCTAATCTTCGACAACGAATGTCGAATGTCAAAGAGAAACGTCATTTACGGACGAAGCTACCTGATACATTGAAGTCCGGGCACTCGTGTAACTCTGATGAAATGTATGAAACCCTAATTACTTTCTAATTACGGGAAGAGCTTCCAGGGTTTTTTTATACAGAACATTGTTAGCTTAGTTTTGCTGGTTTCGAAGTAGCCCATATGTGCCCATTAATACAAATGAACTCAGAAAGATGCTATGAAAAACCACAAAGGCCCGGCACCCATCTGTAATAAGTTGTTTTTGTGGATGTTAATAGGAGATGGAAAACAGTTATTCATTGTTTCCTCCTGTAGTAGTCCACTGTATATAGGCTAATTACACTCCCATACAGAAGTACAAATGTTATTCACCCCAGCCAACACAGGGGAGAATATCCATACAGTTTGCACACACACAGAATAAACCCCTAGAACACTCGATGGCTGCGATGATATATATACATGTATATAGCATGCGAAGTTGCTGTGTTAGACGAGGTGGATTGTCCCTCTAATGTCACTTCATCGACTGCTTCAGTTCGCATTTCTCATTTGGGTACACCTGTAGAGACGTAAGTCAAGAAATTTGTAATTCAAATTTTATTGTACTACCTTTTTAGGACGAAACATTTCCTAAATTTTTTTGTAATCTGAATGGCGCTGGGTCCTCAGCCGCCAATCTTATTAGTACAGAGAAAAACAGTTATATGTTGGGATGCAAACATCTCTGTCGTTCGCCTCAGCCTAAAAGCATGAATCTGATGTATAAACAGGCGTATAAAAATAAGGCTGACTGAGTGGACAGGTTACAGTTAGCGTTGGGAATAAGGACCACCCCAACCAAAGGCATTGTTTTTCTAATACTTTATGTGTACATACTACTGGTCCATGAAGCTCCCAGGTCACCCGAAGTGGCTAATCGATACATGTTGCAAAAAAGTTCAGATCCCTTTGGATTTAAAACTTCATGTTCACAGTAAATGACAGGCGACATCCTGTAGGATTACCTAATCGATGTGAGTTCAGTGGAACAATAATTGTTAGACTTTCAACTAGTCCGGAGTTTTCGCCCTTAAAGCTCATGTCCTTGCCTTCGGAACCCTTGGCAGGTGGACAGAAGAAGCATCCATCACAAGCCAAATGAGAAAATAAGAATGGCTTTCACAAACTTTCCCTGAGTGGGTAGCTGCTTCAATATGACTAGTTTTTGGCTCTCCACTACTATTGAGCATCCTCAATTGGAACTGTAAGAACCTATTTGTCTGCTGTGCGAAGCCCAGATAGTAGGCAAGAGTGAAGATGAAACAGGTGATCTGAAATTCATGATTTATGAAATGCTTGAACTTCAAAGAAACAAACAGTGTGTTTCATCCCACGAAGGACAAATCAACAACGGTGAGGTTTGAAACGGTGTGCGACTGCACTGTGCCCGCTGCAAAAACATAAAAAACACAAAAAGCATTCCAAAAACTTTCAAAAGACTAATTTATGAACAAAAAATGGCTGTTGCAACCCAAACGACATAAAGCTTACCTCAGACCTCCCTATATGTGGGTGATTTGCACCCACTGGCCACGGAAGCGTTACTGTACTCTAAATTCTCAGAAATTGGCACCGTGTAAAGCGCTCGTATTTGTCGCGATTTGGTCACCCGAAACTCCCTCGGTTATGGTTACGTGAACTTCGGGGAACCCAAAAATGCCGAGCGCGCCCTAGAAAATTTCAACTGTGAGTCGTTCACGGGGCACCCTATCCGTATTTTGTGGTCTCGGAACGACTCTTCCCTTCAAAAATCCGGAAGGGTGACATTTTCATAAAGAACTTGGATAGGACCATTTATCAGAAGCAACTTAACGATGGCTTCAGTTTCATCGACAGAATACTCTCGTGCAAGATTGCTATGGACGAACACGGAAATTTGAAAGGGTATGGGTTTGCACATTTTGGAAAAGAGGAGTGTGCTGAACGCGCCATTGAGAAAAGTAATGAATGATATGATGATCAGTGATCGAGTTGTGTACGTCAGCAAGTTCATACCCAGTTCAGCCTCCGGGAAACTTCGGTTCAACAATATCTACGTGAAGAATTTCCCACCGGATACTACTGATGAGAAATTGCGCGAAATTTTCGGTGAATTTGGGGAAATTAAGAGTTGCCGCGTCGAGAAGAACCCTGAAGGAAAGGCTTGGTTTTATTTTGTTTTGTTTTGTTTGTTTTCATCACCAAGATCATGCTGAACAGGCCGTCAGGGTTATGCATGACAAAGTTCGCGTTGCGTGCACTCAAATCACGGCATGGGAGAGAAAAGCCACGAGTACGAGTCTATTTGACATGCGGACTATTTGACCATGGACTAAATGACTGTTAAAAAGTCGCCATTAGCAAATACAGTATTCCCCAGCCCGAATACCAAGACCGGCCGATGAGGAACTCTTTTTGGAATGCCTGCATACTCGGGGAACAGACTGAAAACTCAACTGTCATAACTTTGCTCTGCACGACATTGACATATTTGAATGAGATCGACAAGTGAGCCCAATCTTTGTTTTTTTCAACAGAACGACACTCATTAGTTGATCAAGGGTAACAAGGACTTGGAAAAATTGAAACACCAGCAGAAATGCAGCGCGTTTGCTTCGAGCAGCAACTTTTGTAGCTTTGTCCTGTGGACCATTCTTTCTCGGCTTGAACCCTATCAGGAAGATCAGATTCCTGGAAGTATGCACTGAATGCCCAAACTCTACTGAGACCCTTAACTCCCCAAGATGCTGGCCAGATGGACAACGTCCCTGCAATATGCAGCACGTGGCAGCCTTGTATCGAAGCCGGACGGCGCGAGACTCCGTTAGACCAAAGTCAGACAGGGTCCCTCCAATAAAATAGCTTGGGGCCGTTATATTTTCGCACTCACGCTCTCGAACCCGCTTGTTCGGAATAAAGTTGTTATGTTCCTTATCGGTGAGTCCTTCTCCGGCACTGGTCACTGGGGCGGGAACAGCAGTCAGATACACGATATAACAATTCCACAAGCCACAACTGGAGAACAGCAGCCGGAAATCTGGCCTGATAGGCTTGTGTTGACTAGATCTTCACACTCCGTCAGGTATAAGAACACAGTCATACTTATGAACGACCCCATTTACAGTATTCCTGGATTTCCAAGGCGCATTCGACTCGGTTGACCGGTCCGATCTCCTTAACACAGTTCCCCAGAGAGGAACGTAATTATTTCTTTGCATTCCCAAACTTTTGGACGTGTGAGAGCGTACGGAGAGCTCGCCAAAAGCTTCCATATGGAAAGTCAGGGACACCCGCCCTCTCCGATAATGAGATGAACTCTGGAAGGTTCGCGAAACCCTGGTGCTCAACCAGCTGCTGATGAACACCTCTTCGATCTGGAATATGCTGTCGATGTCTTTCCAGTTTTCAAAGTTATCCGTCCTTCATCAGGCGCGTTGCGCCCACCAAGTGTAAGGTCTTGCTCTTGGATATTCAGCCACTGAACAATCTAAGGATAGGCACTCTAATTTGTGAAGCCTTGCACGTAAACCGGAAGTTGTATTAGTTCCAATTGTAGTGTAATAGATGATATCAGTGCACGAATCTCTAAATCTCAACTTGTGTCTACTGATTTATGACACCTATAGCGTAAAAGCGGTATATTCCAGAGTCTCAAGGAACGTGTGAATCAGCTCACCGTACGGACTGCTTCGTTGTACGGCTGTGAGACTTGTCTATTCGGTTGGAGGAACTGGGACGTCTTCAGCAACCGTTGTTTCAAAACGATGGCTGATGTTGGCGAATCGGCAACAAAGCAATTAGAAGACGAGCGTTCGTTTGTGCGAATCTGACTTCAGTTAACGAATGTGTTCATGTGGCCATGTGCCACGAACGATCATTTGTCCTAAAAAGTGCTGTCTGGCCTGCCTAATTCAGACTGCCACAATGTCAAAGGTTGGCCTGGCGGAGGGGTGTGAAAGAGATTACGAAACATATCACCATAACCACCATCACCATCGACGCCATGAAATCAGTGTTCACCACCGATGCTTCGCTGGAGTACAACTTCGATTACGAAACACCTGGTTCGGTGCGACTCACCTTCTAGGATGGGACCACGCGATCCACACTGTGCGTGGTTGGAGACGCTGCAACATATGGCTGCTAATCGATGTCAGTGGCGTTCTTATCAGTTTCCATCCAGATTGCCTGGATAAGTGCCTGAAGCTGTAGGCACCCTACTATGATTGTGATAGGCTAGCAACAAGTCACTTTCCCAACCATTTTCATTCTTTCATTCACAATAAGGCCATCAAACGAACCATGGTTGTACGGCAGCGAAACATTGGTTTTGAACGCTGATATTGTCAGTGTTCGATGATGATGACACAGAATTTCTCACGCGAAATATCTCAGACGCACTTTCAAGTGTGTGAAAGTCACAATCTTGATTTTTTGGGCAGGATGCTTTTTGTTTTCCATAGGACCGCGGGCGTTAGTTTTATACATCACAAAGCTGGTAATCAAACTTCGATTGACAGTTATAACAAGAAAACACCATGTTTTGTCTACTCACTAGACTGGAGCCAGAATTTGAGTTAAAATCACAGTCAGTTGTGTTCCATACGATCAATAGGATCGATGGGATGTATGACCAATCGTGCTGACGCACACGCAGTTGGAGAGTAATGTTCCACCGTATTTGTACTCAATTCAGACCTACTTTCCTCTGTAAAATCCCAGTGTCATTGTTCAAACCTAAGGTGTTCAACTGCCTGTTCGTTGTTTAGCACGAAAACAACCAAAAGATATTTTATTGGAAGTTGGCATATACCCGGTGAATATTCATCAAGCTGGGCTCTTGGAAACCAACTATTTTTTACAGTACGATTAATTTTGGACCGGGTAGGTTCGTTCCCGTTCGTTATGAGCAACTATGCTACGCTACCAATGTACAAAACAAGGCGAAATTGTGATCTAATGGAAGAGAAGATTGGCAGCTCAGAGTGTAATGTTGCCCGCCGGTTCATTCCCTGAGCTGGGCAATTCGTCTGTAAACGTCTCTTGACCAGTTGAGGTGACCACATCATGTGGTGTGAATGGAAGCGCGTTGAATTTGGAAGTGCCTAGTTGTCGCGCCTGCGTTGACTGACACAGGGTCTACTTACCCAGGTCAATCTTTATCGATCATTAGTCGTGTTGGTGAACATTCCTGTTGGTTGCTGTCGTCTTACTGATGGGTGTCCGGACGGTCTTGAGAATAAATCTCTCGGGTCATTCACAAAGTGCTGATGATGCAACCCCGAGTGCTGGTGAAGGGTTTGTGACAAATTTGCGCAGCTCAGTAATCAAATCAACGGCCAAAAAATTTGCGATTTTCACCGGTGCCCTCGGTTGGTAGAAAGCCTGTTCCAGAAGCGGCATGTTCGATTCCACTAAGAGATGTGTTGTTTACTAGTCTGTCACTTGAACTATTCAAAAATTGCTACAATTCATTCCTATATATACCAACCAAAGTTTTTGACCTGTTGTGTAAAACGATGTATCAGTAAGATCACGAAAGTTGTCAGTGATTACTGCTCTAAAGATATATTCATTCATTGTAGATGGGTACAGTATGGGTAAGTTTCTTCTCATCATCATAGTTTGCCAAAGAACGGTAACCGGATTGTGATGCGACCTGAAAACGGGGTCACCAGTTTCCTCCTTGTTATGAAAAACGCCCAGTTGATTAATTTCGTCCTCGATCACCGTATATAGGGTCACTAGGTCGACAAACTTGGTCAGTTAGTTAGAGCAGTTTTTAATGTTAGTCACGGCAACGGCAGATTACCGCCCAGAAGCAGCATACCTCAGCAACTACTCTCACTTTCACACAGATAAGCTTTGGAAAGGGGATTCAACTGAAACTCAGCCGAATCTGTTGGTAATGACAGGGTCTGCAAGAAAGGCGAAACCGATCATGGGTTCCTGAAGAGTTTTCAGTAACTCTGTGAGTAGTGTGTCTAGACGAAAAAAAATTTTTTATCCGTTGAACTTTGTGAAGGACGGGGCGCAAGCAAAACATGAACACTAGTTTTCAGTACTCTGTGAGTAGTGTGTCTAGACGAAAAAAAATTTTTTATCCGTTGAACTTTGTGAAGGACGGGGCGCAAGCAAAACATGAACACTAAGAGTGTATGTGTACAGATAGTGAATACTGTGAAAGAAAGCGCAGCTCTAAACAGACGGCTGAGAGCCATACTCTCAGGCGAGTGTTGTGGAGTAAACAGGCAGTGCAAAACTCTGGTGATACGGACCCTCAGCGAGCGGGCGTTAAAAATCAGAAGACAATTATAATATACAGAGAAGACATTGCGAACTTTTTCCCCTCTCATGGTGTCACTGTTTTACAGGACAATCGATTCATCAATTGCCAGTCTTGGTCCAATGTCTCCTAAACAGTTACCAAATCCTGTGGGTGCACGCAGCCAAAGTCAATCTGGGCCATAGTTATTCGTTCGGGGGGTTCTTGAACCAAGACGCACTTTTCCATCGTCTTACCCAATGGTACGCTTATCTGAAGACCAACCTGAAGCTGGATCCCAAACAGATACCATGTCAAACAAATATTGGCAGTTGCATTTATAAGCATGAATTCCATCATACCGCATTCTGTGTGAAATTGTTCGGGCTGGTGCTGCAATATTAGCCAATGAAGACTGAATGAACTAGCCGTGTATATATACCAAACACACAGTGTAAATGGCTACCCATGTTTCAGTAGGCGAGTGCCCGTGAAAGGCGCTGATATCACAGGACCTCAGTAGATGAAGGAATTTCAGTTGAGGCATTCAGCTTTCAAAGTCTCAACTGTCATGGTAACCGATTTCAACTCGTACCTGTTGGTAACACGGACGATGAGTGTATTATTTGCATGCTGAGCCACGTGGGTGGACACATTTTGAGCCGTATCCATTCTCAGTTTAGAAAATCGACGCAAATGGAAGTATTGGGTGTTCAATACGGTTGTGAATTAACACGCCACTTTAGAGAAATAGTCCTTTGTGTCAACCAAGATGAGATAAACGTCCAGCCAAAGCTTATCAATCTAAGAAGAACCAAGATCAAGGTACATGAAGACATTAAAAAACTATATGCACTCATGAATCAAATGATATAAGTTCCTTCAAATGCAGCTTACTCAGTGTCGCACTCCAAAATAAAAAAAATTACGGACGATGTGTATAAAGGGACACATGCGCTTTAGTTTGAAATGCTATCTTCGCGCAACTCTTGACTCCATTGAGGGAGTTGACTAGAATGGTAATAAATAAGTCTCCGGTGGTGGTATCCTTGCAGAAAGCAGCGCTTGTTAACCTGGAACACATCTGTGCTTCGCCGCCTAAAAATGTACCGATGATGTGATGTGAGTTAGTGATGAAACTCTTTTGCAATTAGATCACATACTGTAGACCACGTATCATCCTGCAAGAACAGCGCACTACAGTATGCAATTGCTTCTGTTCAACAGAAGTTTGTGCAACTTTATCCCATCAGCATATGTCAAAGCAGTAATTCGGAAGACCAAACGAACAAAATCAAAAGTATTTTCGACAAGGTCTCGTCGATCATATCTATCCAAGTTGGTCGTGGCCGTTTTGTTGTGGGCTGTAGATTTCGGTAGTACTTCAAGGGAAGGTAAAACCTTGTCATTTCGAGGAGAAAAAGCCACGGGGTGTTTCTTTGTAATTGTCCTGCTTAGCTTGATGAACACACTGTCTGTTCGGTAGCCTTTTTATATGAGCGAGCCAGTCCGACACGATTTCGTGGCTCGACATCTAGGATGTGTACAATCGGAAGAAGTGTTTGGACACCGGTTGGTTGACTCGTGAACTGAGTTGAGCCGTCATTTAACTCCAGTTAGCATTCTACCTATCTTGCCTGTTTCGAGCAAGTTTCAGGGGAAACTGGTTGACCCGGTTGCCTGCTTATGTGAGCTGTGTTCGACCTTGGCGTAGTATTTTAAATTGTAAAAGGTGCATTTCTCACGAGCTTTTTTTTACTCAAAACTGTCTTGGGTGCTGTAAAAGACAACTTTTTCCCTCAGCAGGAAGATTTGANGGAAGATTTGCAGAGTTAAGGCTGAGAATATAACCAGAAGTTTCTAGTGTTAGCTAGCATTTAGCAAGTTGTGTAAAGTCAGATTTCTTGACACAGAAGCTGGTTTGAAAATCGATCAGTGAAAGTTCATTGCTAATGAGAACCTTCGGTCATACAGTCAGCAACACAACCGAAATGTTGAATACCCTTCATGCTCTGTGCAGCATTCCCTGATGAAGGTGCTTTTGTGTGAAAACTTCGTGCAAAACGACACCATATTCTTGATGAACCTATCTAATTTAACGCATTTTCAACATTGGCAAAGCTGCGGGTGCGCTGCTTGGTTATTAGTCTGCTCAATCCCAAGCTGACAATGCCACATTGATTGGTGATGAAACGTTTGCAATACAACGGCCAAGCTCGGCCAACAGACCAACAATCAACTATTTGGCATTTGCTATGATGCAAGCGAACCGAATCAGGCAAGTCATTTTTAACTGGTCTTGAATGAATTTAGATTAACTTATACTTTATACTGGACAGAAGTGAATTTCATTACAATTCATTGCCGATTTGTAAAAAAATACCTAACGTTGCCGTTTTGTTTTAGAATTGAGAATTTTGATTAGAAAACAACATAATCCAGAACAGTTGAAAACCGCCAAGAGGACTGGAACTCTTCTTTCCTTCTTGGATCTGTCTATTTGTTTCGAGGTATGTTTTTCGGAAAAATTTCATTTCGGTACTGTGAGGTACCGAGTGCTGAAGACGGCTTGTTGTTGACCGCTTCCTTCAAATTGTGTGATCGTATAGCGATTTATACTCGGTCTTTATAATTATGTGCAATGAAACAGGGCTACCTCATTCTGAAATGGAAATCCTCGTGCAATCGCTGAAAAACAATTGAAAATGGCACTACGCTCACATCATCAGCGACAATCTATACCAAAAGGCAGGACGAAAAGAGACGAAGCGGCTTACTGCTATGCCGCAAACTCATCCCGGCGAATGACTTTAGTATGGAATCGGTAGTTTCGGAAAAGCCATCATTCAGCCGCTTTATGTGACCTTCGCCGAATAAGTTGAGCTTATTCAGCATTTCCTCATATCCAAGCTGTTTTTCACATGATAGACATAATTTGAGTCTCCTAACATGATTCCATAAAGTCAAGTGGTTAACGCTACTCAATGTATTTCCTTTAGAAGAGGAAACTAGTGGCTCCATCTGGAAATGCAAATGAAGTTCAAGACAGAAGATTCTAATTTTGGCCGTTCTTTGGTGAACTAGGTGTGAACTTATGCACTATTCACGGAAAGCCGTCTGTCAGTAGCCCAATCAAACCTCACTGTGAAAGCAGGACTGGAGCAACTGTTAAACAGAAGGCATCTGATAAAGTGTTTATTTGAAATTCATTCACTCGAGAACATCGAATAGTTGAACACCATCCAAAGGGTGGTTAATGTCGCTGTGTGTTAGTATTGGTAGGTTTTCCCCCACTCATTTTGCAAAGTTAGGATGCTAAGCTCCATTCAAATGATACCTCGTGTTTTTTTGTAACGGAGGCTTCCGGATGAAATAACCTCCTTACTTAACAAGCTCTAAATCCTGCCTCTATTTTGAGCGTTGTTCACAAACTCACGAAGTTCCAGACAGCGATAGTTTTGTTTGCATGCTATGAAGCAAGTTCTACCAGATGGTGGTCGGGCTCTTTCGCCAGGTCGAAATTTATTTCAGATGATAACGTATCCTCAAACTATGACCAGTCTATAAGTGGCTGATAGGAAGAATGATTCCATAAGATGAATGGAACTCGCATCGGAAAAGACATCACTCGATGAGCTAAACCAGTCAATAAGTGATCACGTGATATGGTTTCTGTGATTCTAACTGAAGGATGAGCAGTGAGGTCTATATTGTGTCTGTCTAAATGAGAGCTAATAACTCCACTTTTGGGTGGCTTGATGCTAAATAGTTAAGTGTTCAACCACTGGCCGAAATGTCGCAGGTTCAAAACTCTCTACATTTCCGTGAGTTGCACACTGCTGTTGATCGGGAAAGTGGATGAAACCGAATCTCTCCAGCATGGATTGGCCACACCTTCAGAACGAAATCTCAGTCGATGTTTTCGAAAAAGTTTGGTGACAATCGGTAGATTTATTGCTGGGCAACATTTCGCTTTTGACACAAGCTTCGTGAATAGGTTCCGAGGTTGGTCGAGAATTAAGGCGGAAGGAGAACCAATCAGCTAGGTCAAGCTAAATCTCTGTTGGGTGTCGGTCGAGGGATTTTAATGTGTTAGAGTGGTTGAACAAGTGTTGGGTTGGTGGGGAAACCTACATGTGTTTGGGTCCAGCCTAGGGTCTAGTTCTTCTGGTTCCGTTCATTTGATGGTTCCTCTTGAACTTCGTTTGAACCTTCTGTCAGTCTGTGTGGGTGAGCTAGTACCAAGAAAGTTGTGGAAGAGGGATGCTGTGACCTTTGGTCGGTTGGGTTTTCCACCCCCATCCCGGTTTTTTCTAGTGATCCTACGTGGATTGACAACCACACCGTCACGTGTCAACACCCTCGATTCTATTCATGCTGTGATGCTTAGTAATTTCCACCGCCTCGGCTATCAGCCGCTGTGGTGTGAATCGCAGTCCCCGTCTTAAAACTTCCAAATTCTCCAGATCTATTCTGTCCCGTGTCTAAGACATGTACCGCCATCGCTGAGTCTTTGACCAGCGTTTGGTATTCTTCTGCATTCCTTGGTGGTTTGTTAATCCTTCTTTTATGCTCACCAATTCTGG